CCATGTTGACCGCCATGGTCATTTTACCCTAAAACAGTTGAGATTACCTGTGCTAAATGAAATGCATACAAACTCATATACAGGTCCTAGACTATTCCGACGAAACCAAATACCTACATCAGAAACCTCAGAAAAATGGCCTCATCTTATCAGAATTGCTGGCAAGATTCATCCCTATCAACCAGATATTGATGCCGGAATTTGGATTAGATGTAACTGTCCGAGAGCACTCAAACCTCGAGAAGTGATCCTGGGAAAGGGAGATGACCCGTACGCCATTAGAACACTTTTGGGATGGGGAATAATAGGTTCTGTTAGTGAACCAATCAGTCATGATGAAAACGAAGATCTCGCAACCTGCAACAGGATCGCCACAAGAGAAATTTTTCCGACGCAGGAAACGGAAATCATGCTTTCGTTGTGAAAACGAGGAGCAAAGAAGTTATAACCCCCCTGGTCGTACAGAAAATGTTCGAAGCTGACTTTTCCGAACGTAGCATTGGAGAACAGGGACTGTCCAAAGGAGATCGAAGATTTATGAAGATAGCAGAAGATGGTATTCGTCATTGTGACGATGGACACTACGAGATGCCAATACCTCTGAAACAGCCAAATCCCGAATTGCCCAATAATCGCGGGTTAGCTATGCGTCGTCTAAACCAGCTGAAGAAAAGGTTTTCGAAAGATGTACGATACAAAAAGGACTATGTGAAATTTATGAACGACATGATTGCGAAGGGATACGCTGAACAAGCTGCCCCAGTAAATGCAAAAGGTGACAAGAAAATCTGGTTTATCCCCCCCACGGAATATACCATCCGAAGAAGCCTCAGAAAATACGTGTTGTCTTCGATTGTTCGGCAGAGTTCGAAGGTCAGTCGCTGAATCGGAATTTGTTACAAGGTCCTAATCTGACAAATAATTTGGTGGGAGTACTCGGTAGATTCAGAAAGGAGCCAGTTGCAGTGATGTGCAACATTGAATGAATGTTCTGTCAAGTGAGAGTAGCTGAACAACATCGTGACTTATTATGCTTTCTATGGTGGAAGGACGGTGACTTCTCGAAAGAGCCTGAGGAATTAGAATGACAGTGCATCTTTTCGGTGCTGCTTCGTCTCCCGCCTGCGCAAACTTTGCACTTAAGCTCACGGCACAAGACAACGAAGAAGGCGTAGACTTGGAACCAGCGAACTTTCTTCGTAGAGATTTTTACGTGGACGATGGCTTGAAGTCTCTACCAACTGTCGCAGAAGCAGTGAATTTGATACATGGAACCAAAGAAATGTGCAAACGTGGAGGCTTCAATTTGAACAAATTTATTTCAAACGAGAAAGATGTGATTGATTCAATCCCGGTGGAAGATAGAGCAGAGGAAATCAAAGAAATTGATTTGGATTGCGATCCCTTGCCAGTTGAACACGCTCTTGGAGTACAGTGGTGCATCGAAAGTGACGTGTTTCAATTCAGAATAACGCTGAAGGATCGTCCGTGTACTAGAAGAGGGATACTGTCGACAATCAGTTCAGTTTATGATCCCTTAGGATTCCTGGCTCCAGTGCTTCTTAAAAGAAAATGTTTCCTGCAAATGCTTTGCAAAGACAAAGTAGATTGGGACGACCCTGTTCCTGACCACGTGAGATCTAGATGGAAGAAATGGATTTCAGAACTTCTTCATGTCGAAAGCTTATCAGTACCACGATGTTACAAGCCCACGAATTTTGGTAATATTACCAATGTCCAGTTGCATCATTTCTCGGATGCGAGCAATCGGGTATACGGTCAATGTTCATATCTAAGGTTGGAGAATGATAAAGGCGATGTCAACTGTGCCCTCGAGATGGGCAAAGCTAGAGTGACTCCACTTAAACCTGTGACGATACCGAGACTTGAGTTAACAGCAGCGGTAGTGTCAGTCAAAGTCAGTGAACAGTTACAGACAGAGCTAGAGTATGAAGAAATGGTGGAACACTTCTGGACCGACAGCAAAGTTGTACTCGGGTACATAGCAAATGAATCAAAGCGATTCCATGTATTTGTAGCAAACAGGGTTCAACAGATCCAAGGGAAAACAATTCGAGAACAATGGCATTATGTTGACACAAAGTCTAACCCTGCGGACGATGCATCCCGTGGTATTCGAATGCAAGACTTGTTGACGGTTCTCGTTGGATAAATGGCCCTGCGTTTCTGTGGAAAGATGAGTCGCATTGGCCGACAGCGACAGCTGGCAGCGAGAGAGAGAAGGGTTGTGAAAATTCTCCAGACGATCCAGAAATCAAGAAAGCTGTATCACTTGTCACCGAAACCAAGATATCCTATCCCAGCTTTCTCAGTCGATTACAATATTTTTCCAATTGGTATAGAGCAAAGGCAGCTGTAGCATGGTGTCGTCGTTATCTACATCAAGTGAAGCAACGAGCAGGCAAAGGTCGGTTGAAAGAGAATATAAATTCCTCACCTTCCCAGCGACGTGAATCCCAACCAAGATTGTCAGTAGATGATCTTACACAGGCTGAAGTGTTGATCATAATAGCGGTACAGTCTGAGGAATTTGGAAAGGAAATCGAGATACTGACCTCCCTCAAAACGGAACAACATCCGAGCAAGAGTACCAAAACCTTACCAAAAGAACCTTACCTTTGACCGTTGACTCCATGAATGATCCTGATTTGTTTGACACCCAACCACTTACTTACTATGAAGTCAAAAATTGTTCTTCCACCGCCAGGTGTCTTCCAATCAGTTGACCTTTACTCTCGAAAACCTTGGCGCCGAGTCCAGCATTTAGCCAATGAATTTTGGTCTCGTTGGCGAAAGGAATTTCTTCAGAGCCTCCAGCAAAGACAGAAATGGATAAAACCAAAGCGGAATATCATGGTTGGTGATGTTGTAATCATCAACGATGCGAATCTTCCTCTCAACAGTTGGAAACTAGGTCGCGTATCAACGGTTTTTCGAGACGATGATAGCTATTTACGAACAGTGGAACTAAGTGTTGGAGATTCTTCCCTGAACGCCAAGGGACAACTAACAACGGCTTTGAAAACCTTGCAACGACCGATACATAAACTGGTCCTTCTGGTAGCAAGCGAAGACCAAGGGTAGATTCCCGTCGAGGAGCCATTCATTTGGGACAAACTGTATATAGAACCTTGATATTGTGGTAGGGTTAAACTTAAGAAAGTGTACTAATTTCAGGGGAGCCATGTAGCTGCATGCATAAATTTGCATGAATTAGAACCGCATAAATTAGATATTAATAGACCGTTTGCAGTCTGGGATATTAATGGTTTTAGAGTTTTTGTAAAGGTCAGCGTGTTGTTGACAGTCTCAGTTTAAAATCCATACGAAAAAGGTCATTGTTGTGTTAGATATGTAAGTAATTGTATTTGCTCATTAGCTAAATGTCTTGTAGATGTATTGTTTAAGTGTATTTTGTATCTTTTCTTTATAGTTTACGTAAATTACAACATAGTTGAAACAACTTGAATTGTGTCCGTTGGCGTGTCTTGTTTGTCTTCTATATGTAGTTTGCAGTAAAATCCAACGCAAATTGGCCCTATTATCGTGGCCGATATAGGGACTTTTGCACGTTAATCTCAACCAAACAACAACCATGCCTATTTCTACATCAAGCAACACATCTGATCTGGTCGCAAAGTTTCAGCACCTATTTACTGGCACTGGTACTGAGCTACATCTTGATCCTAGTATACAACCAGTTGCCCCAAAACCTCGGCGAGTACCATTTCACTTACGTAAGCAAGTATCTGCCCGAATTGAAGAATTGGAAGCACTCGATATCATAGAACGTGTATCAGGTCCAACATCGTGGGTATCGCCCGTGGTAGCAGCACCTAAACCCCACAACCCGTCTGAAGTTAGAGTATGTGGTGATTATCGACAGCCCAACCGAGCAATAATTCGAGAACGGCACCCTATTCCCACGGTGGAATAGCTCATGGAGGACATGACTGGTACTTGTGTGTTTTCAAAATTAGATCTTCGCGCTGGCTACCGTCAAATTGAATTGGAAGAAGAATAGAGATCTGTTACCACCTTTTGCACACATGAAGGCTTATATCGATATAAACGTCTACCCTTCGGCATCTCCTCTGCGTCTGAAGTTTTTCAGAATGTCCTGCAACAGTCACTTCAAGGTCTTCATGGCGTTCGTAACATAGCGGATAATTTCATAGTTTGGGGAAAATCCCAGGAAGAACATGATCAAAATCTTGAAGCTTTGTTGCAACGCCTAGATGCCAAGGGCCTCACATTGAATGGTGATAAATGTGAATAAAACCAACCAAGTTTATGGTTTTATGGTTACAGTTTGTCCAAAGATTGTCTATCTGCTGATCCCAAGAAAGTTGAGGCCATAGTCAAAATGACAACTCCACAGAGTGTTGCTCAGCTCCGAAGTTTCCTTGGTCTAGCTAACTACTGCGCTCGTTTTATCAAGGATTTTGCCACTATTTCAGCTCCTCTGAACGAACTGACCAAGAAGTCAACAAAATGGCAATGGACTGTCGTCCACCAACAAGCTTTTGAGAAAATTAAGACTGCAATTGCCGAGGATTGCAGCATGGCTTTCTATGATCCTGCCAAAGAAACAACCCTGAATGTTGATGCAACTCCTGTCGGCCTTGGGGCCATACTGTCTCAGATCCAAGAGGATGGTACCATACGCAACATTTTATATGCAAGTCGCACCCTTACCCCCTCTGAACGCCGCTACTCGCAGACAGAAAAAGAAGCCCTTGCAGTGGTATGGGGCTATGAACGCTTCCATTTCTATCTTGTAGATAAAGAATTTACCCTCTACGCTGACCATAAGCCACTTGAACTGATTTATAGCCCTAAATCCAAACCACCACCACGCATTGAGAGATGGTTTCTCCCATTGCAGCAGTACCTGTACCAAGTGCAATACAGACCAGGATCGTCAAGCCCTGCTGATGTGTTATTCCGTCAACCAACAGAAACCTGTGAATGCTAACACTGCGGACAAGTATATCAATATTATTGTCCCCAAATCAATGGCTCTAGAGGAGATTGCTGCCGAGACAAGTACTGATTCTGAGTTACAAGCTGTGATCAAAGCAGTGCAGACGGGACACTGGTATGAAAAAGATGATGCAAACTGCAGGTATGTTACAGCTTATAATAGATTAAAGGACGAACTGTCTATTACTAACAATGGTATACTGTTACGTGACACTCGAATTATTATTCCAAAGTCTCTTCAGACATTTGGCCATTGCTCATGAAGGGCACCAAGGTAAAGGGCACCTTGTAAAATCATGTTTACCTTGCCAGTCAGCAACTATCCTAGCACCCCAGCCAAAGGCTCCGTTAATCATGACTGATGTGCCGTCCAAACCATGGAGCGTGGTATACGCTGACTTTTGTGGTCCATTTCCCAATGGCGAAACTGCTCTGGTCGTTATTGACGGTTACTCTCGTTATATGGGGGTAGAAATAATGAAAAGTACGACCACTACAGCAGTTGTTTCGCGTCTCAAAAATATATTCGCCAGACACGATTATCCAGATGATTTGACTAGCGACAATGGGCCCCCATTTAACGCTGCAGATGTTGTTTAACGCTGCAGATGTTGTTTAACGCTGCAGATTTTGATGCTTTTCTAAATCAAAATGGTGTTCGTTATAGAAAAATCACGCCTTACTGGCCGCAAGCTAATGCCGAAGCGGAGCGTTTCATGCGAACGTTAGAAAAAGTTGCACGAGCCGCCCATTTCGAAGGAAGAAAATGGCAAGATGAGTTAGATACTTTTCTTGTGAATTACAGGTCAACGCCGCATTGCACAACTGGTATCAGCCCCGCAGAGCTTCTATTCAATCGAAAAATTCGGAATAAACTGCCAAGTGTGGACCGGTTAGATTCTACCCCATGCCCTCAGACATCGAAGACAACCATGAAAAAGCTATCAACAACGACTCAAAAAGAAAGGAGAAGATGAAGTAATATGCGGACAAACGGAATCAGGCAAAGAACCATAATCTTCAAATAGGAGATTATGTCTTAGTCCGACAGCAAAAGAAAAATAAGCTGTCGACCATAGAGAGTATAAATAACACTAGAGGAGGCATTGTAATCTTAATTCAGTAAAAAAAGGGAACGCGACTATTGGGTGGAAAATTCAAGTCCCGGATGTGTATTTGTGTTCCCATTGGTGACGAGTTTCAAATCAGCCAATGAGAGCACGATTTTATATCTGGGACTTGAATTTGTCCCCCATTAGCTGCGTTCCCAATTTTTAAACTCGATGCTTCCTCTAGTGTTATATATAATCTCTATGCTGTCGACACCATTTGGTAAAACACCATACAGAGTAACAGAAATAAAAGGTACAATGATCACTGCGACTAGCGAAGATAGCGGCAACATTACCAGAAATGTTTCAGTGTTTAAACAAATCCCGAACCCAAACCTTTAACCACAAGATCAAATTATCGAGGATTTTCATGGTGATATGCCTAACACGAAATTGACGCGCAGATATCCAACTCGGAACAGAAGAAGTCTAGAATTTAATAATAGTTCACGGACATGGTATAAATCTATACAAACTTGAAGTTTTAGTTGTTGAGTTGTTAATTATGAATGTTTTATTCTAAAAGGAAAGGAGGGATATAGTATTGTGACGTACAGGTCACATGATCGAGTCACTGGACAAGGAACACATGGCATGTTGTATTCAGCGAGGACGGATCTAGGACAGTGCTTTGTACATTCACATTAATCATTTAAATATATTGTTTTATTTCAAAACGACTATATTATACTCACCTGTCCACATTTTACAACACTTGAAGATGTCGATATTGTGGAGCCAGTCCAAGTGTTTATTACGAAATACTCCAACAACATAGTAACCAATCTTGCTACAAGTTGTCCATCCTTGCTTATCAAATTTGGTTTTGACATTTTCGTCATAACAATCTTCATACCGATTGGGATGATTCAATCAATCAATCAATCAATCAATCAATCTGTTTAATTAAAACCAATTTGCAGTTTTTAAAGGAAAACTGAATTACATGGAGTACTAATATAGCATAAAAATTTATATTAAAATGTACATATATATATATTATATAAAATAATGTTTATTTAGTTAGGACTGTTAATTAACTATAAAGCTAATAATATTTCCTAGTCACGAAGTTTTTTAACCGTTCAGTGGTTTCTGACCATAAAGGTTGTTCGGCCGTTCTGTCATTCCTTAAGTCATAATCATGAGTTTTTACCCCGGGACGAATTTCCATAATTTGGGTCAAAGGGTTGTAGGGTGAAACATCACGTCGCAGAGATTCGACGAATTTCTTGCAAGAGATGTCTCTACGAGTACTCAGATACTGTAAGTTTGAAATTTCAAGGGCTTTATCATATAACAGATCTGGATAAGCTATTCTCAATGCTCTCTTTTGAACAGATTCGAGAATGTCAGATAATGATTTAGGTATTGACGACCATACAGGGGATGCATATTCAATTCTGGATCTGATGAATGAGATATATATTTGGACGATGTCAGATGCTTGGAGACCAGCCTTTTTAACAGACGCAATGCGTATAAGCGAGAATTTGCCTTTTTCAATACCATGTCGACATGAGTATTCCATGACAAGTCATTTGATATCCATACACCTAGGAGTTTGAAAGAGGACACAGTTTCCACCGGTTTACCTGCAACATAGATCGGGTTTTCATTATCAGATCCTTTATATTTAAGAAAGTTGATCAACATTTGTTTGCATTTCTTATAATTTAGTTCCATTCCACGTTCTAAGGCGTAGTCCGAGATTTCATTTACGACTAATGGCATTAAACTGGATGAAAAACGTGGTATAATCTCTAGGGCTGAGGTGTCATCCACAAACTTGATCCTACTGGGCCAGTTTTGAGTAAGGAATTAATGAGAACAGCAAACAATAATGGACCCAACTTTGTACCTTGTGGCAAGCCACCATTTGTTTTCTTCCAAGAGGACATAGAAGTTCCCACCCGGACACATTGTTCGCGATCGCAGAGGAAGGCTTTAATCCACCGAATTATAGAGGGATGGGTACCAAGCAGGGTTAATTCTTTAATAATAACATTGTGGTCTACTAGGTCAAAACCTTTCTTGAAATCTGCAAAGAACAATCTGGCAGGACAGGAACCTCTCTCAAGAGCAACCAAGATTGAATGTAAAAGGTAGACCAAAGCGTGGGTCGTTGATTTCTTTGGGAGTGCAAATTGTTTGGTGTCAAGTTTATTTACAACTTCAGGAAAAAAATTGTCCAAAGTACAATCCTCCATAACTTTGGCGATCTGAGATGTTAAAGATATTGGTCGTAGGTCGTCTTCAATACTCTTTGGGGGTGATACCTTAGGGACAGGCACTACAATAGATCTCTTCAATGCCTTTGGGAAGGTGCCTTGTGTCATGGATGAGTTGAAAATGTCTGAGATAACTGGGGCAAGCTCAAAGGCAAATGTTTTTAGGATTTTATTTGGAAACATGTCAGGACCCGGTGATTTTGTGGTTTTA